CGGGCGAAAGGGGGGGGTTGGGAAAGGGGGGGTTGCGAAATCTGGTGCATGCAGCTGGTTTCGGCCCCGCCGCCCGGCCCATTCCTCGATACATGGGCGCCTACCGGCGCCGGGAGGCCTGAGGCGCCGGTAAAATCAGCTACGTGAGCTGATTCTCAAAGCCCCCCTTTGCTATCCCCCCCTTTCGCCCGACCCGAACATCTGCGTAGCAAGCGTGGGCCAGTGGGGCCAAGGCCGTGCCGGTGGGCACGGGAGATCGGTGAGGCGATGCTCCGCTGGAGCGACGGCGGGGCACGGGGCCGTGCCTCCACCGGCGGTGGCGCGCCGGCTGCCCGCGCAAAAGGTCGCGCGTGAGCGCCCCCTTCTCCTCCTCTTCCTCCTCCTTCTCCCCCTCCTCCTCCTCCTCCTCCTCCTCCTCCTCCTCCTCCTCCTCCTCCTCCTGCCTCCTCCTCCTCCTCCTCCCCCCCTCCTTCTCCTCCTTCTCCTCCTCCTCCTCCTCCTCCTCCTCGCACGCGTGACGCGCTGGCAGCCCGCGTAAGCCGCGGTGTGAGGTCGCTGTGCTTCTGGGCCTCCCACAGGCCGTGCATGCCGCCGGCGCGCACCGGCGTGTCCGCCGGCAGCCCCTCGGCGGCTTCAGAGTGGGAAGGTCCGACGTGGCTCCATGAGGGCCCCGCGAGGGGGCGAATGCCAAGATCATAAGCATGCCCGTGATGGTTTTCGGTGATTTTGGCGTTCTCGCCTTTGGGGCTTCAACGCTGCAAGACGGCCCAGTATGCCTCCAAGATCGCCACGAGACCGCCCGCAAGGCTCCCCAGAGCGCCCCAAGACGGCCTAAGACCCATGCCAAGAAACACCCTGCTTGCCTCCAGGGTGCCCTGGGCTTCTTGGGTTTCGATGGTTTTGCCATGGAAAGCGTAACGTTCCCTCACCAAAATTCAGTGAACGCCCTGCGGTCTCAGGGTTGGGTTTCTTGTGGAAGGTTTCTTGTGGACTGGCCTCCACTGTATGTCCTATGCTCTCCGCGTACTCATTTTCGGCACGCCCCTCACAACTTTCGTGACCATCGGGGAGCTCCACGCAAGGCTTCGGTCGCAAGGTCTTGCATGTGGTCCCCCGCCCAGTTCGGCTCACCCCTCCCACGTTGCGTGGCCCCACAGGGGGCTCCACCCAAGGTATCGCGTGCGGCCACCCCTGCGGTCCCGCAGTGAGTTCCACCGAAGCTTTAAGTGGCAGGGTACCGCGTGAGGTCCCCCCGCCCATTTCGGCATACGCCTCACATATGTCGTGGCTCCACACGGAGCTGCACCGCAGGTCTCAGTGACAAGGTGTTGTTGTCCGCCCGCCCATTCGGGCATACCTCTCAAACGTTTCGTGGCCCCTACAGGGAGCTCCACCGAAGGCCTCAACGCTAAGGTATCCAATGCGTCCCACCCCGCCAAGTTCGGCACACCACTCACCGGTTTCGTGGTCCACCGAAGGCATCAGTGGCAGGGTATCGCATGCCCCTCGCGTGTTTCGCGGCGCCACGCAGAGCAATTTCCTTCTCGCGGCGCATTGCCTACGAGGAGGCGGTCATATTCTGCGCTACTCGCAGCCTCTTTGGGTTGGGTCTTTCGCCAGACTACTTGCCTGGGCGTTCGGCGACCGCAAGGCCGATCTTGGAACGAAGAGCGTGGAGTGGAAAGCGAAACCACACGGAAACACCCAGAGGGACTCAGCGTGTTTGGCCTCGTGTGGGCCCTCCCCGAGAGCGTCTCGAGGGTGCTTTGGGGGGCCTCCTGGTGGCCTCTTCACGGGCGCCTACGAGGGGGCCACTGTGCGTCTCGAGGCGATCTCGTGCCACTTTGGTGACCTGCCAGGGCCGCCTGGAAAAAGCCTCAACAAGAGAGCCCCGGGAAGCGCCAGGAGGGCACGCCACGGGAGGCCCATGGTTAAATCGGGCATGTCCTTCTACAGGAGGAATATTCAAACATAGGTAAGAGAATAGTCTGAGGACTTTTTTGGGGTTATCTGTGAGCATTTTTGGGAGTATTTGTTTTAAAGTATTTTCATTGTTTCGCCCCTGTAGGGGGACAGGCCCGACCTAAGCCCAGGGAGGCGCGGGAGGGGGCGACGCATGCAGGGCGCCATGCGCCGAGAGTTGGGGGGTTCGAACACTACTCGGCGGCGAGCGGAGTGACTCCCCCTCCTCCTCCTCCTCCTCCTCCTCCTCCTCCTCCTCCTCCTCCTCCTCCTCCTCCTCCTCCTCATCCTCCTCCTCGGGTGGCCTGCGCCATCGCAGGCCGTGTCGCCACCCCAGGGGTGGCACGGGTAGGCAGCTCTCCAGGAGTGGGGGGGGAAGTGAGAAGGAGAAGGCCTTCTCAGAAGGCGGCGGGACTTCTCAGAAGCCCTCGCGCCATCTCAGGAGCTGTTCCAGTCTTCGAGGAAGGCTTCAGCAACTTCTCAGAAGGCCAGGGGTGCAGAATTCGAAGAGAAAAAACGCCATAGACTTAACTTGTGGCGCTCCGCGCGGATTTCTTGGATCCGCGCTGGGGCCCACGGGCGGCGCCGCCGGCGCCGCCCCTGGCGCGCTCCGCGCGCCAGGGAGGGGGTCTAGCGCAGATCCAAGAAATCCGCGCGGAGCGGCAAAAGTTTATGGTATGCCGTTTTTTCTTGTTCTAAGAACACTTAGCACATGGCTCTTGGTAGTCCACCACGCCTCAGGGTGCCAGGTGGCACAGAGGCGGGTATGGGTGGATGCCAGGACCGCCGTAATTACAAGAGTTAGGCTTGGACGGCAACACCATCAGTATTTTGTACATCAGCAGTCATATCGAATGGGCCGAAACTCGGAGGAAAAGACCCCCAGACATGCACGTCGAGGGAGTAGAGTCGCAGACGCAGTGGCCGAGCAAGAAGCGCAGATGCACAGACGCGGAGATCGCCTGGTATGAATGGGCGATGGCTACAGCAAGTTCCATCAGAGCCAAGATAACGCCGGCGACGAATGAAGAGATCGAACGACGACCTGAAGTCAAAACAGAAATATTGCAATCATCAACGAAGGAGGATCAGCGTCTACTCACGACGCAGAATCAACAAATACCCTGACAGCAGAGAAACTGACGGCAACGGCACCCAATTCCACAAAGACAAATAGCGTATCAGGTTGGTTTTGCAAGTTGTGTTGCCAGACCGCCAGTCCCCGCACACACGCCAAGGATATCCAGGACTGGCTACAGCAAGAAAGTGAAGGCTGACCGAAGCGAGAAGGAGTCCAAGTGGATACCAATGGGGTTGCCACGCACGAGACCCACCCCTTGCTCGATACCAGAAGTATACGAGGTATGCTGGTTTTGTGGAGGCACGGCGGTTGACTAGCCACGTATGTGAGAAGAAAAAGAAGCATAAGAAGAAGGAGACATGAGTCTGTAAACGACAGCCCCCGCGCAACTCAAGCTAACACAAAAATGGAGTCCAGATCATCAAGCAGGCAGGAAGGCCACCCACCCAGAGAGGCACGACCAGAACAGCACGACGGACGGCCAGGCCGAGAAGACGAAGGCTAGTCAAAGGAACAGGTAAGACCAGGTGTGCAAAGCGGACAGCAAGACCGATGCCCTGAGTGCTACCCACCAGAAAAGTCACGACCAGGAGTGCTCGACAGAGCTGAGAGCGAGAACCCGCGCGCTGCCCACATGAACAGGCACGGCAAGAGGTCCTCAACGGAGGGCTCCCGATCCCGACGGCTGCCCACCGGAACGGTCGCGCCGCCCGTGAGGACGTGACGGCCCCGGGGGCCCTCGGCAGCTCTCCGAGGCCCTCGGCAGGTCTCCACAGAGCCTCGGGCGGGTCTCCAGGGACTTTTCCGATGCGCCACCGGAGGTTCTCGGCAGGCAGGCAGACCGAGGCACGACCAGAGGCGCACGACAGGCGGTCGTATCGGGAACCCGAAGGCTGCCCACACAAGGAGGTTCGAGCAGGAGTGTTCGACTAACGCCCAGACACATTGGACCCAAAGGCTACCCGCATCGGGGGATGTGACCAGAGGTACTCGACAGGCGGACAGATCCAGAACACAGAGGCTACCCACATGAGGTGCGACCTCCAGGCCAAGGCGTACTGCATGCAGAAGGACCCGAAGCCCACCCACATGAGCTACGCTTTGGAGGTGCTTGTGTCCCCAGAAGCGAGTAGTGGTGCCGGGGCGCCGCAGACAACGACTTCCCGCGACCCCAAATCGATTGCGCGGCGACCAGCCTGCGCTCAACACTCGAACCATGAACCTGCCGAAGGAATTCCCATCCCCCTGCCTCCTCCCTCCCACCCTGCTCCTCCTGCCGGGTTCCTCGTTCCTGACGGCCTGAGGTTCGTCGAAGGCGGCCTCCCCCCCCAGGGCCGGTCGGCCCTGGGAGGGTGATCAAACCAGGCAGCAGGGTGGATGTTGCAACCGGTTGTAGGAGATCAACCCCCCAACTCCTTAATCATCTCCCGACTCCTCCTGCTCCTCCTCCTCCCCACCTCAATCAACTCCCCAACTCCTCAACTCCTCCTGCTTCTCCAGAACCTCAGTCAACTCCCCGACTCCTCCTGCTCCTCCTCCTCCCCACCTCACTCAACTCCCCGACTCCTCAACTCCTCCCGCTTCTCCAGAACCTCAGTCAAGTCCCCGACTCCTCCTGCTCCTCCTCCTCCCCCACCTCAATCGACTCCCCAACTCCTCAACTTCTGCTGCTCCTCCTCCCTGATGGTCCGCTACCGAAAATTTCCGGTAGCGCTCCGCAGAGATCGGTCGCTACCGAAATACCGAAATGCAGCGCCCAATACCGGTATCAGACCGTTCTGAAATCCGCTATTTCAACGCCCTCAAACGAAGATCCAGTCGCTACCGAAATTCGGGGTGCGTCGAAATCGCTACCGAAAATTTCCGGTACCAGACCATCTGGGCTCCCCACCTCCGCCCCCTCCCCGGCAGCCCGCCCCTCCCCCGCCGCCCCCCCCCCCCGGCACGCCCGCGGGAGGCCTGCCGCCCGCTGCCGCGCAGAGCCCCGAGAGGCAGAAGGACTGGAGGAGGAGGAGGGGAGGGGGAGGGAGAGGGGGGGAGAAAAGAGGAGGAGAGGAGGAGGAGGAGGAGGAGGAGGAGGGGAGGAAGGGAGGAGAGGAGGAGGAGGGAGGAGGAGGATGAGGAGGAGGGAGAGGAGGAGGAGGAGGGGAGGGGGGAGGGAGGAGAGGAGAGGAGGAGGAGGAGGGAGGAGTAGGGGAGGAGGAGGAGGGGGAGGAGGAGGGGGAGGAGGAGGGGGGGGGGAGAAAAGGGGAACGCGGAGAAGTGATGGGGAGGAGGGCCCCTGGGGGCCCAAACGTGCCAGGCACGCCGGATTCAGGCGATCGCAAACACGGATCCAGGGGGCGTGGATTGGCGACGGGCCCCGCTTCCATGGGAAATCGCCGGGACCGCTCATCCATGCTTGCGCGCCCCCGACCGAAGCGCCACCTGCTCCACGTGCCTACCGCACGGCCCGCCCGCCCGCCCCAGGCGCGCCACGCCGGGGGCACGCGCAGGGTGTGCCAGGTGCGCCCGCGCGCGTGGCAGACACGCCGGCCCCCACCATCCTCCTCGAAGGCCAGTGCACCATCGCGGCGGGAAGGCCCTCAAGGTTGCTGGTGGGGCCTGCACACGTCTAGTTAGGCCTCCCAGGTAGGGTCGGAGGATCGCGCCGCGTCGCCGATGCGTTGACGATGCGGCTCGATGCGGAGCTCGATTTTCTCCACGCCGACGTCGCTGATGCGTCTCCGATGCATCTCCGATGCGTCACCGACGCCTCGCCGATGCATCGGCGATGCGGCGCGATCCTTCGACCCCATCTACTCGGATCCCATATAGGAGGCCTCTAATGTCGGCCCCCACCATCCTTTTCGAAGACCAATTCACAATCGCAGCGGGAAGGCTATCAAGGTTGCTGGTGGGCCTGCACAGCAGGCAATATGCCAGCACCCTCGCGGCCCCCGTCAAAAACCATGGACAGTGATCGCGGGGCGGCTGTGCACTATCCAGATTTAGCTGCGAAGTGCATGTATCGGAAGCCGGGCAAGGGCTGCTAAATCCGTGGTTGCTAAAATCGACCTCCGGGAAGTTGTCTTCGTCCTTCCGGGAAGAAGCCCGTTGATTGTTTCGCGTGCCGTGCCTCATTCCGGGAAGTTGTTTTTCCTTCCGGGAAAGCCGTTTTAGCAGCCACGGTTTTAGCAGCCCTCGCCCAGTTTTCGAATGTAGTGTTGTTGTCTGACAGGGGTGGTGGCTTTCTGCACAGCAGGCAGTATGAGGGCACCCGCGCCTTCCTTTTAGAAAACAATGCAAGGAGCTCGCGGGGCCCACGAGCATGCCCCAAGAATTTACCCAAGGTGTAGTCTGTATTCTTTGTTGACGGATGGGGGTGGTGTCATCTGTCTTGGTAGGTTGCCGATTGTCTTGGGGAGGGGGTGTTCATTGATAGTTGATCGGGAACAGTGATCAAGCTACCCAGAAGCCGCAAGCCGTCTAGCTCACTCCCGCCCGCCCTCCCAACCCATGAGTAGCACCCGAGGCTTAGCATGGACGGGGGCAGCCATCGACAACCATTCGGATTTAACGCAGACGCCCGCCAGGTGCGCGACGCCCGTGAGGTGGGCCGCCCGTGCCAGGGCATCCCCAGCACCCCTGCCAAATCACAGTGCCAAATGATCGCGGGGCGCCGGCTCATGGTCAATATTTTGCCGCGGCGTTTATTTTGCATTGGCTTGTGACGGGGATGGTGGGCCTGCACACGTGTTGCAGTATGCTGGCGCCCGAACATTCAAGCAGTGGCGAAGCGTCCTGGCTCGCCTGTAGCCTTACGAAACAATGTTCTAAGAACCTTCTGTGGTTCCCACGAAATGTTCTTAGAACATTTCTGGCTGGGACTGTCTTGTTTAATCACATCGGGTTAATGTTATAAGAACACTGTTGTTGTTCTTAAAACATCTTTGGGTTCTAAAAACATTTCGTGGCATGACTATGGGAATGCCGAGACGGTCGGTCCCTGCTCAAAACATGATCCAGAGTTTGCCGCACAGTGGAATGTGTCATTCGTTCTTGACAGGGACGGCGGGCGGGGGCATTGCTCCTGGTGTGTCGCGGTTGGGTTTGGGAAGGGAGTGCTCATGCTTTCAAGAGTAGAGAGAGAGAGAGAGAGAGAGAGAGAGAGAGAGAAATCCCTCCCCGAAAGCGAAGGAAGGGGGCTGGGAGAGGAAACGCTCTAAACCACTCACGTCCTCAAGGGCTGGTAGGAGTTCGAACCCCCCCAAGGTAGCCCCAAGAGGCACACAGGATCCCCAAGAATCGTCCGATCAAATTCCAGTAAGGCAGCACAACAGCCGAGCAACATTACGGCCACGCGGCGCCCCTTGCACCCCCTCGCCATCCTCCAACCCCTTCCCCCTGCGCCTTTTCCTCGTCTTGCCATCTTCTCCTCCCTTTTCCACCCCTCTCTTCCCGCATCTCCTATCCCCACCCTTTTCTCCCACCCCCCTCTTTTCCTTCTCCTCCTCCTCCTCCTCCTCCTCCTCCTCCTCCTCCTCCTCCTCCTCCCCCTCCTCCCCCTCCCCCTCTCCTCTCCTCTCCTCTCCGCTCCTCTCCTCTCCTCTCCTCCTCTTCCTCCTCCTGCTTCTCCTCCTCCTCCTCCACAGGGTACAAGATGGGGCTTTCCCCAAGCAAAGGGGGTCCCCCATATGCTGATCCTTCAAGCCCGAAAGACTGTTTAATGGCGTTCCGCCCCGTAGACCTGGGCCCGGCACAGAAACGGAAAAAGCGCTTCAGAATCTCGAGCGAAATTACTCACACCACCGTTCGTACTGGGAGCCTTGGCGTTGGGAGCTTGTTACGTCACCCCGCGATCTTGGGAGCCTTGGTGTTCAGAGATTGTTGCGTTGCCGCCCGTTCTGGAGCCTTGGCTGGGCCTTAGTGTCAGGAACTTGTTACGTCACCGCTGCCTGCTGCGAGCCTTGGTCTTATCAGCTTGTTTACGTCACCGTTCGCTCTTGGGAGCCTTGGTGTGAAGAGCGTTTTGCGTTACCGATCGCTCTTTATTTGGCTTCTCTGGGCCTTCTTGGGAGTCCTATTGCGGCCCGTTTCGAGCCCCTGTGGGGGCCTCTTGGGGGCCTCTTGGGGCTTCTTGGGGGGGCTCTTGGGGCCTCCTGGGGGAGTCTTGGGGCGACAGGCTAGACTTTTCGGTTCGTGGTCCCCCTCTTGGGGCCGTCTTGCGGCCCTCTTTGGCCGTCTTGGGCGCCTCTTGGGCCGTCTTGGGAACCTCTTGGGCCGTTTTGGGGGCCTCTTGGAAGCATATCGGGCCGTCTTGGGGCGGTCTTGGGGACATCTGGGACCGTCTGCAACGCCGTGAAATCCGAAAAGCAGTGTATGCTTAAAATGTACCTTTTTCCCGGAGGAAATCAATGAATTTGGCCTCCTGGTGGCCTCTTGGGACGCCTCTTGGGGGCCTCTTGGGGCTTCTTGGGGGGCTCTTGGGGCCTCCTGGGGGAGTCTTGGGGCGACAGGCTAGACTTTTCTGTTCGTGGTCCCCCTCTTGGGGCCGTCTTGGGGCCCTCTTTGGCCGTCTTGGGCGTCTCTTGGGCCCTCTCGGGCCGTTTTGGGGGCCTCTTGGGAGCCTCTTGGGCCGCCTTGGGGCGGTCTTGGGGGCCTCTTGGACCGTCGTCAGCGCCGTGAAAGCCGAAAAGCCGTATATGCTTAAAATGCACGTTTCCTAAGAAAAAACAATGATGCTGGCTTCTTGGGGGCCCTCTTGGGACGCCTCTTGGGCGCCTCTTGAAGCGTCTTGGAGGCCTCTTGGGACATCTTGGGGCTGTCTTGGGCGGTCTTGGGCTCGTCTGGGACGAAAAAGGGGAGAACCCGAAAAACATACAAAAACCCGTGGGAAAACCCGAAGACGGCCATTAACACTCATTCCCTCCCCCTGCCCCCCCTTTGCACTCCCCTTTCGGAGCTTCGCCCAAACACAACGTCATCACTCGTACCTCGCTCTTTCCGTTACCTGGAAGCTTGGTCAGTGATCTTCTTCATTATCCGCCCCGGCACCACCCGTCGGCATCTTCCTCCTCCACCGCCCTCTCCCCTCCCAGTGTTGGAAGGACGCCGCCAAGAAGGCGATGACCTTAGCGCTGGTTACCGCGCGGTTCGCCGCCACGCCCCGCGTGGGGGATGAGGGATGAGGGGGAGGGGGACGAGGAGGAGGGAGGAGGAGGAGGAGGAGGAAAAGGGAGGAAAAGGGAGGAGACAGCGGGGTAACCCGGAGACCTCCACAGGACGAAGTGGAGTTGAGGAGTGGCATTGGTTGTAGAAGGAAGCGTTTGCAGCAACTATGGATATTCATCGCACTTTGGTTTAAGATCCAACCGGAAACTAAAATTGGTCGTTGGTATCCATCGTGCTTTGCGTTACGTGCTTTTGTGGGTAACGACATTTGGTGTGTGGGTGTGTGGGTGTGTGGGTGTGTGGGTGTGTGG